GATTACATGATGAAAACTAGTATATTTTTGTTTACAGCTGTCAGCATCCAATCTGTAACCGCTCTGTTTATCCCCAGCTTCCTAGGTGTTGCGCATTAGTTTCCATACTGTTACCCAGCAGTGCTCTGTCTCTTCCCACGTGCTACTTTTGGGAGATTACACAGAGAGCTGAGGCGGTTGCTGATGGGCTCTTGCACTCCAGAGACAGCGGCTAATGAAGCTGAAGTCTATACTCATCATCCGTGAAGCCAAACAGACCGACTCTGGGGATGGAGAGACGGAAACAAACCTCCTTTGGGGATAACAACACGAACTGTGAGGAAGTTTTCCTTCACAACTGATCTTGGACCAACTTCCCCTGTTTGGATCGCACAGGTAACTGATATAGGGAACAAAACAGCGGCCTGATATCAGTAGGAAAAAAATCGCAGAGATGGGAGATGACGGAAGGGAACATTTTAGCACAAGGACGTCATATCATGGATTAATGAGGTCAGCGTTCCATGGGTAATAAATGTATTATCCTCTGGCGTGTATATTTTTTACAGCCACCTTCATTATCCGTTGTTGACCCTTTACAAAAGGTATTTATTTTTGTTAATTTGTTGTTAAAAAGTCAGCAAAAGAAGGTGTTTAACCTTCAGACAATGCTGTTTGTACACCTTACTAGGAAGTTGACAATTTAAAGTAAAAAGTGGGAAACTGAGAATAGAGTTTCTCAGTTGGTAGCAATGTCAAAGCCTCAGAACAAATGGTTCCCTGGTTTGAAACCACAAGCCAGCAGGCATTTTTATGTTAAGTTTGCTCCAGTTTCCCCGACAATCCCTGTGTTTGACAGGCCATCCATCCAGAGTGTTTCCCTGCCTATGGCCTGAGACACTGGTATAGGCTCCAGCATCCATGTTACCCTACATACAGTAGGACAAGTGGTTTTGAGAATGGATAGAGAAACAATCAAGAAAAAAAAAGCAAGATTAACTTGTCTTTGCTCTACTCTGTAGAAAGGATCCAATGATGTGTCTTCTTAAGCTCCACGATCTTATGGACTGTACCATGTTTAACAGGGGAGACTTAACAGAGTTGTGAAATCTGATCGTGGAAAGTTCCAATAGCTGCAGGTATTTTAAGGGTAGGGTTAAAACAGACAAATGACAATACATTAATAACACAAAACAACCACGGTGGAGGTTTTCTTAAGCAAGTTTTAATTGTGCAGAGTTAAAAGAACAGAGGGCTGTTTGAGCGCTGCATCTCTCACTCCTCCACACATAGAGTACAGTAGTTTAAAACAGAAAATACAGGGTTCTGCACCTCAGAAAGATGATTTGTCACAGGCATTTCCACATTTCTTCTCTAAGACACACAGAAAAGGCAGCAACATACTGTAAACCCCAAAATGTCCAATCCACACCCTTGCAGCACCTCAATGTGAACAAGAGGTATAAAACAACAAAATGGATTCTCAGTCGAATTCAAACAGGACTAACGAGGGCAGATTACAGTGTGACTGACGTCTATCTTGTTCAATCTGATGTTCAGCCCAGTGAGTAAAGAATACAAGCAATACGACAGAGAATGATGCAACCTGGTTTGTTTAAAGAGGTTAGCAGATAAGCAAGGCTGGGTTCGGGATGCATTTGATGGCGATTCTTGACTTCGGCGGATTCCCTGCAGTGAATGCGGAGGTCTGTCAGTGTCTCTGGCACTTGGAGATGCTCTTGTCTCTTGTAGCATTGCCGTTATTGCTAAAGGTTCCAGCAGATTTCAAGAAAATGTCTCCCTTTCGATCCCTTCTCTAACCCTCAGCTGGCTGGAAAGGTTTAGACACATGTGAAATGTGGCTGTAGTACTACTCGCTCAATGAATGGCGAGGTTCTTTTCTCGGTGAGCCAAATTCTATCACGCCTCATTTCTGAGCCCTTAACCGGATTAGCTTGCAATGAAGGGCGAGAAGGAGAAAGCAGACAGCTGAAGAATTGGAACAAGACCGATGTCAATCACTCGAGTGCTCAAGGCTATTGAATGGAACGGAGAAATATCATAAAGCAGGGTGTTTAAGATATACAGCTGCATGCTTTCAATATGAGAAACAATCAAGAAAAAAAAAGCAAGATTAACTTGTCTTTGCTCTACTCTGTAGAAAGGATCCAATGATGTGTCTTCTTAAGCTCCACGATCTTATGGACTGTACCATGTTTAACAGGGGAGACTTAACAGAGTTGTGAAATCTGATCGTGGAAAGTTCCAATAGCTGCAGGTATTTTAAGGGTAGGGTTAAAACAGACAAATGACAATACATTAATAACACAAAACAACCACGGTGGAGGTTTTCTTAAGCAAGTTTTAATTGTGCAGAGTTAAAAGAACAGAGGGCTGTTTGAGCGCTGCATCTCTCACTCCTCCACACATAGAGTACAGTAGTTTAAAACAGAAAATACAGGGTTCTGCACCTCAGAAAGATGATTTGTCACAGGCATTTCCACATTTCTTCTCTAAGACACACAGAAAAGGCAGCAACATACTGTAAACCCCAAAATGTCCAATCCACACCCTTGCAGCACCTCAATGTGAACAAGAGGTATAAAACAACAAAATGGATTCTCAGTCGAATTCAAACAGGACTAACGAGGGCAGATTACAGTGTGACTGACGTCTATCTTGTTCAATCTGATGTCCAGCCCAGTGAGTAAAGCATACAAGCAATACGACAGAGAATGATGCAACCTGGTTTGTTTAAAGAGGTTAGCAGATAAGCAAGGCTGGGTTCGGGATGCATTTGATGGCGATTCTTGACTTCGGCGGATTCCCTGCAGTGAATGCGGAGGTCTGTCAGTGTCTCTGGCACTTGGAGATGCTCTTGTCTCTTGTAGCATTGCCGTTATTGCTAAAGGTTCCAGCAGATTTCAAGAAAATGTCTCCCTTTCGATCCCTTCTCTAACCCTCAGCTGGCTGGAAAGGTTTAGACACATGTGAAATGTGGCTGTAGTACTACTCGCTCAATGAATGGCGAGGTTCTTTTCTCGGTGAGCCAAATTCTATCACGCCTCATTTCTGAGCCCTTAACCGGATTAGCTTGCAATGAAGGGCGAGAAGGAGAAAGCAGACAGCTGAAGAATTGGAACAAGACCGATGTCAATCACTCGAGTGCTCAAGGCTATTGAATGGAACGGAGAAATATCATAAAGCAGGGTGTTTAAGATATACAGCTGCATGCTTTCAATATACAGTACCCTATTCATTTTGTCTCTGTGTTGAATAATATTATGTTCTAGTTGTAATACAGTATCTATGACATCAGTATGGACCACAGCTGCTTCGTCATATATTCCATCAAACTCTAAAACAGGTTTCAAAATCCCAGTTGACATGCAATACAAGAGAGATTGAGGATTGAAAAGCCTTCAGGGGAAGCAGAATGAGGCCATACTTAAAATGGGCCATATAGAACCACAGGGGACACATGTAAGCGGTCTTGTGGGTACAAAGAGTTAATGAGAGGTAGAAACAAAAGGAAAAACCAATGGGGTTGAGGTTGAATTTGCTTTTTTACTCTTTTGAATTTTACCATAAATGGTGTCTGACTGGGAGGTTTGACTATGTAAATTGGCCCATTGGGTTATGAAGGTAACTTTCATACAAAGCTGAGTCTTAGCAAAGAGATTTTCTCCTTTAAATAGAAAAAGAGGTTACATTCCAATAATAATTAATAGAGCATTAATTAGTTTGAGACAAGAGACTGAAGCGTAGATACAGGCCTGGCTTTTCAGAGCAGGTCAGTGTGCCACATGCAGATTTTAATGCGAGGAAAAGTGTGAATGCCCGGACGTTGTGCACTGGGGATTTGGAGTTACTATTCATGGCGAATAATCTTGTGCGTTTTTGTTTCCTCCTCACATCATACACGTGTTTCTCTTGTCTGATCTCTCCAGTGACTTTAAATCTGTGGTTGTGTGTTGGGAAGCGCAGTCAGTCAATACCGCGTATGCACCTCGGCTCACGTTACCACTGCTACAACACGATAGCGTATCCTGATCCTGTCCGATGACTGGCTAAAACTGATCAATGATTTCATTTCAGGGGCCATTGGCACTCAACTCTACATACTATTCTGAACAGATGTCACAGGGAGAACGGGATCGATTGCAAGGATGAGGGCAAAGTTTCTTGCCAACGACTACATCGTATTTAGGCATCTCTTCCATTGGCTGCAGCTTTTATCCTTCTGTTATTTATTACACTTTTTGAAGCAGTGCATCCTGTTTTCTTCCAGGTCCTCTTGGCTCTTGTTGTCTCTCGATTCTTTGTGCTGACCGCAGGTGCATCAATAATTCAGGTTTGTAAGGAAACTGCATACCTTTTAGGTTAAAGTTTGTGGACTAGAACAGGCACTAGATGCTTGTCAGTACTACTCAATCGTGCTAGTTGTCACCATTTTGGCATCACTCTGGGAGTCAAGTCCCGGCTGACGCATGGTTTCCACTGACTAAAACCGAACCAAACCTGAGATTTTGTACCATGCTTCACTCAAAACCAGAGAGAAATGGAAAAAAAGAGACAAGAGAAGATGTGAGGTGAACGTGTGCACTGTGCTTTTCTGAAGCGACTGTTGTGTGCTGTGCTTACTCTATGTGTGAAAAAAGAAGATATTTTTTCTCAGAATGGCTTCTCATATGGGACAAAGATAAAACGGGAAGTTAAAGAGGAGTTTTTTTGGGGTTTGGGGGGTAGATATGTCGCTTTAGTGGATATGTGGAGCAGCAGAGGGGAGACTAGTTTAATTTCATGCTCAATTAAGTTATGCTTCTCTCTCTTTCTCTTGCTTTCTACCCCTCCTCACATTTTCTTCCTAAACCATGTGTAAGATGTCCTAATTGCTCAAGTATGTCTACTTCTTCTTCTTTTGGAAGCGTCTGAACTGGTTCTGGATGGCGAGGGCTGCTTTCTCTGTCTCCGGGGCTTCCAGGTCGATATCGACCTCTTCCTCCTGCTCAGGTTTTCCTGCAGAGTCAGATGCCTTTTCTAGAACACAATGACCAAACCATTGAGTGAATCAACTCATAAGAAGACCCTTGTGAAAAAGAAGTAAACTTTAGCATACTTTTAGCATAGTAAGAGTACTTACTATGGAAATATACTTTGAAAGAATATACTTAGAATCTACTTAAGTGCATTCTATATTAATTTAAACTATAATACGTTTTTCATTAACATGAAATTAAGTATATAAAAACATTAAATTCAGTTCACATCTAAGTACATATTATATGTCATTTCATAATTACTTCTATTGTCATTGAAATATGGTTAAAGTACTGCTGACAAGCATCTGTGGTCAATTAAAAGTACTTTGTCACATTTTATTTTAAGGACCAATTCTCGCTATTGACAAACCATTAACTAAGACTTTTGCCTCAATAAACTCCTAATTTGCTAATTTAATAGTTAGTAAGGTAGTTGTTAAGTTTAGGGTATTGGGTAGATATACACACTTTTAATAGCTGAAGTACACTACAAATGCATAGTCAAACCGATCAAGCGTGCTTCTTATTCACAAGGGCACAAATGACACTAGATTTGTACATTTTCTGAAGTGCCTATGCAAAACTGTCTAAAATGATGCTGTGGTGTTTGTGAATGGATGGTAGGTGGCTTAATGTGTGATACATCGTCCCAGCATCGCTGTGAATGTGAGAGCGACTGTATACAGATAGACATGTG